TTTCTGCAAGAGAATCCTGATTCATAATAAGATTATTGATCCTTTATCATCTGTTCTAAGGCAAAAACCCATACATGTAGGATTTAAGGCTCTAGGCGCTTTTTATCTCATATCAATAAAATTCGCAATCTGTATCATGCAGGGATAAAGTAGAGAGTAAGATACAAACAAGAAATGCTAACGTTTAAATCCAAGGAGCTTACTTTCATTATTTCTGTTTGATACTTTAGGAAAGAGGCACAGGCATAAAGCAACTTGCACAAACATACACATCCAGGCAATGACTTTAGGAGGAAACAAAATTCAGGTCAGCGAGGCATCTGGGGAAGTTTTCAGCCAGGCTGCCTCTCAGGTCCCCAGTATAATAAACATAGCAGGGTACTGATGCTGGGAAAAGCAATGGTTTGACAAAGGGAAAAGTAGAAGTTGTATATCTGAGTAGCCCCTAGCCTTTACAAAGTGGACTGGACAGAGTAGAAGGACTAGAGCAACTTCATTTCCTTCAATCTGAGCTACTGTTGGAGACGGTTTTAAACTTTGTCTACAACATGGTGTCTCTGGGTGTGTTCGTCCCTCTTATCTCTTCATTTCTTTCTCCTATTCCTTTTCCATCTAGTGCCTGAAAAGTGTCCTGAGGGTTTGACAGTTTCTATTTAATCATTTCATCCTTCTGTACAGAAGACTGCTGAGCACCATACAGTGAAGCTACTACCAGACTGGAATTGCTGAGTATCTTCATGCCCTCTTACCTGCTTTGGTGCCAGTCTCTTGATATCTCATGCCCCACCCCCTACCCCTCACCCTGTGTCTGGGATGCTGTAACAAATAAAAGCTCTAAATAGCTCGCTTCGATGAGAAGGGGGGGAAGCTGCGTTTTGCCAACACACAAAAAAAGACTGAGAAAGATTGTTTCCCAAGGTTTTCTTTTAGCTTTCAGTGTACTAAGGATATATTCATTAAAACCAGCATTAGATTACAGAGGGGGAGGAGAACTAGTAGACAGCCATTTTATTTAGCCTTGGAAGACACAGTTCAATTCCCAGCTTGCTGCTTTTTGTAACTCACAATCTGTTATGAGACTCTACAAAAATTAGTCTATACTTAGTCTTCCACAAAACCAGACATCTGAAATAAATCTACTCATGTCTAGTCAAATGACCAGATCTGATGAAATTTCCAGCTTTTTGTTGTCCTACTATTTCCATAAGACAAAGCAGTGATGAAGCATTGGATAAGACATAAGATTAAAAAAAATAATAATAACTGTCACTCTTCAGCTCAGCTTGTTCTTAACTGGGGTTTGTAAGTGATTTGTTTTGTCATTAGCGATCTGAACTTCATCAATTCTATGAATTATTCCAAATGAACCCACAGTTCATTTTAGGAATCATGGGTGAATCAAAATATTTCCATGCCTATTTTTAATATCACTAAGCATTCAAGTCCTGACTGTATGAAAGGGTATTAAGCAAACATTGGGCAAAGCAGAGCCTGAGAACAGATGTGCGTGCCTCACCAGCGCTACCCCACGGTGAATGTAAGTGACCTTCATTTCCTTTATTGAGCACTCTGATTGCCTGAGGGTACAAGCATATACACACACAACTATTACAAAGATAACACTGTAATGTTATGCCTTCCACAGGCCCACAGCAAATTTTCTGTGCACTCATATTCTACATGCCTCTCAAAAATCACAACAGCTTTTATATGAAGACTCCCCTCTCTCAAGATGGACAGAAAGCAATATATCTAGAGAAAAACATAGGAGGAAAGGGGCATTAAAAACAGTCTGTAGAAAGCAATCTAACTGTAATCTGCTGTACAGGTTTTTGCTCTCAATAACATGTATGTGTATCTGTAGGTACAGATATTTGTGGGGTTTAGGGTATTTTGCAGAAACACCCAAACTTCTGGAAAAGCAGCAGTGCTGAATCTGCTCTTCTGTCATTCAACTGGGCAAAATATTCTGTGATCAGAGGGCAAGAGCCAAGTTGGCTGATGATGTTGAGGAACAGTCTATCCTCCCATATTGTAGCCATGGCCATCCTTTAACAGAAATCTACAGGCTCTGCAGATCTAATACACTTCTGGCAGAAGAGAAAGACAACATGTCCTTCAGACTAAATAAGTCACATTAAAACAGAAAGTGGTATTCTAAACAGCCCTTAATTATGCTATGGCCATGAAGTTAATCATGTGGGACTGATCAGTGAGGCCTGCTCATCTTCAACAGGAAAGAACCACACCCCTTCATCACTAGAATACCAAAAGCTTTTCTGCATGCTGCAGACTGGACCTCTAAATATTTTCCATATTCATCTAAAGTATGGTTGGTAACAATCAGTAAGTTTTAAGAATTATGTTATCTCTTCCCAGGCTCAGACTGCCAGTCAGCACATTAGTGATCATTGTTGAAAGTCATTTCCAAACATGTTGGGAATCTGAAATTAGAAACATTAACAATGGGATTTCACAGATGTAGGTTACATGCTTTCAGAAAAGAAATGGCACTTCCTGGCAGTGGGGAAATACTTAAGAACTACTTATCCCCTAATTAAACAAGGTACTGTACTCTAAGTACTGAATGCTAAGCAGTGTTCTAGCATGTGTTCTTCTTAACCCTACAGAATTATGCTGAATTACTAAAGCTCCTGAATTACAAAGGCTCCATCTGAACATTTCTTAGCCAAGACTACTTGCATAAACAGATGGAGCAGTCCTGCTGTTTCCATGATGACACATTGTGATTGCAAAAGTACAGGATTAAGTTCAAATTTATCATAAAATCACTTTAGATTGGACTCTGTAGTTTTTATATCCTTCTCAAGTGTGACAAAGAAAGACAAGACTTTCTGTTGTGTTTAAAATAGGCAAACAATGGATGAAAGGTCTGGTAAAAAAATATTGATATAGCAGCAACAGAGCACTGCCTGAGGCCAGAGTAGGACAGCCAGCCTCAAAGATCTTTATATTCCCTTGAAGAAGGGGATGATCCTCACTAGAAGGATTTCCCAAGACACATTAATACATCATGTAACTCCCAATGGCACTGCAGGCACCAAGGATCACAACACTAAAAAGGATAACCTTCTAATCATGAACTGAATATCAAAATCCATAAAGAAGTGATGAATTCAGGTAGAGATGATGCTGTGGTGTTGCTTTGTGGAGTCACCTATAAGGAAAGATTGGCAAGTGGCAGAATATGTCAGATTTAGACTGGTTTTCTCTGAAGCAACACAAAGTGGTTGGAAGAGAATCTGGGAATGGGGCCAAATTAGACTTGGTTTTTGAATGTAGCCTAGTGATAGGTTTCAACACTAGGCATCAATTAATATTGCTGGAACGTTTTGAGGGGAGACTACCAAAACCCAAATAGGACATAAAGAGAAAAGGTCACTGACAAAGCTATGTCGTAGTCTGTGTAAATACACACCTCGTAATTCCCCTAGATTGTAACTTTCATAGAACATCTCCTCTCAAAGACACTGAAGGGCTGCTTCTCTACAAAAACCAAAATAAAACTTCAGAATATGATTCTCAGGGAGTCAGATCTTCACACATAAAATGATTCCCTGAAGTTTAACTCCAGACTTCCTGTCAGAAATGTCTCAAACTCCTCTGTGGTTTCACTAACTTCTAACTGGGGAACGAGAATCTCCATTTTGAAACTGCTCCTAAGATTTCAAAACCTGGACTGCAAACAAAATCTTTTGAATGTTCTTGTGCATGCACCAGAAGGATTATGCCTTGCTAGTTTGAGACACAAGACAGACAAGTGTCCAGCTCCTGCAAGTGTAGCTTTCCGAACCTGAATTTTGCATAGGATGGTCCTAAATCCACAACTCCACCATGTAAGAGACTCACTCAAGTATGATCCTGTTAAAATTAAACTTTGTGAAGAAACAGCATACTTAAAAACGATTAAATTCCATTGCAGTCTTCTGATCAGTTCTCTGCAGTTATGCATTCTGGTACTTTCTCTCCTGCTGGCAATCTATATTCGCATCTTGTGCTGCTTAAAGTGCAGATCAAAACCTTTCCACGGCCATGGACTTTCACAAGGTTGTTCAACCTTTCCCCTAAAGATAACTTTTCTTTTTTTTAATGGAAGACTAAAGTTATACTAAGCTACTGATGGACATAAAATGACCATGCTAAAAGTTTAAATACCAAAATAAGACAATAGATCAGTCATTTTTATCATGGTTTCTTTCTAATTCCTTGAAAATGTAGGTTTGTAAAGGCACCAGGCTTAATTGTCCAGTAAGCCACTGTCTTGTCTGTCTGTCTCCTAAATGCCATGACACAGAAGCAGAGGCTATTTCACATTTCCTTTTGTTACTTTCATGGGTGGAAGTAAACATTCAATTTGTGAAGTACTTTTCCCCATAGTCAGAGGTTAATACTACACTGAAACTGAGAAATGGAAAAGAAAGGACATGTCATTCATCAGACAGAATGGAGCAAAAGTCACTAGTGCATAGAGACAGGATGTAAGTCATGTGCTACTCTTTGTGGGCAGATGTTAATGTATTTTAACACAAGACAATGTCAGGTAAGCAGACCTATACAAAAAATTAAATTCCACAGCACAGAATTAATTTCTATGTACTTAAAACTTGGAGCAAATGTGAAGGTTCTGTAAATTCTAAATTACACATTTAGACTATGATTTTCTTTTTCAGTTGTGGCCAAATTGTGGTTATCTGGCTTAATGTACACCAGAAGAACCAGCCAATTTTAGTCTCTTACCTTTGAATAATTTCTTTATGAATGTTTAGCATTTACACCTGAAGATGTAATACATTTTTCAAAACCTGGAACATCTGTATTTTAAATTAAACTAAATAATAAAACATTACAGCAATATCTGGACTGAAAACTGATTTTTATATCTGCTAACAGATTAAAACCTCTTAGAGTCCTAGACAGCACAGGTAAATACCTAGCAGCATCTCCTGGCACTTCTTTCTAATATTTTGTATATGTCTTACCTTTAATGCACTGTGTTTTTCATTTTCTTCAACAAGCAAAATTTCTGCCATATCCTCAGCGTGTTCAGACTGTGCGTGGACAAACAAGGCTCTACCGGCTTCTGACATATTCTTTAGTGCAACTAAAGTCCCATCGTGTTCCACTTTAAAATTTGGGTTAGAAACTTCGAAGGTCAATTTGTTATTCCCCTTGCAGTCATCAAATTTCACTGGGGGAAGAAGAAAAAGTAAACAAACTATTATAAGTATCCACTTTGGAACAGTCTTCAAACATCTTGTTGTTGGCTTGTCTACACATCTCGGGAAGAAATGCATCTCAATCTACCAGGAAAAACTTTCAAAGAAACTGTATATTTGTGAGACTATAATTCATAGACAAATTTTACCAATATTCATTTTCAGAAGGATGAAGATATTTTGACCATGCTAACTGGGGAGATGGAGATAAAACACTTTGTACATGAACATTTTGCAGTCATTCAAAAAAAATGCATGAAATGCACACCTACTTCTAAAAATCGGGCAGCAACAGTAGAAACCTTGTTGTCACGCTCATTGTAGCCCAGGATCTCCAAAGGCTTTTCTCTTGGCAAAGTGGTTTCAGATATTCAGTAAAACTTTAAACTGGTTGTTTACAGAATACTCAACCTCAGTCTACTCTAAATGTGTTGTGTAACAGAAAACCCAACTTCTTACTCTGTACCAGGGTAGTGATAGAGTGCATAAACCGCACTATCAGCATAGTTAAGGATTATGAGAACTTTTAATCAAACATTAGCTGTTAATAATCTTGTTTCATTTTACATGAAAAATCTTTAGTATTTTGGAAAGCTAGCATAAAGAGAAACATATCTCTAAAGTACAGAGGTTTGAGACTGCCTCAAGTTCCTTCTCTGAATCAGGTAGATTCACTTTGCACAAAACACTGGGAAAAACATTATTGATGTAACTATCAGCTATATCTTCAGGTCTTCACCACAGACTTGTAATTGCTAAGTAAATTTCTCCCATTTTGACATGTCTGAACAACATATTTGCCTGTGAAGGGTCTTTTTGCAAACAATCTGTTCTGTATTTCCTACCTGTTCCTTGAGTTACTGCTGTTGTAGATTTTTCACTTATCTGTATGCTCTTGCTATTTTGATTCTACATTTCATTTCTACTGGATCTTTAATAACTTCATTACAATTTCAAAAGCTAATACAGACAGGGATACAGACTACAGAAGATCAAACACAATAGAGTTTTACTGAAAATAAAACACTTTGCATAATTGTTTCAATTCACAGTATAGACTTCTTTAATTGGCTCATTGTCTTTAAAGGAAAAACATAATCCCAGATTTTCTCACAGCCTGCACAATACCATAGATTTTCTTGACTGTGCAATCTTTATAACCAGTCTCAGTGCACAGGCAGAATGTCACGGTGGATGACCACACAACACTCCTGGGAAGCTACACAAAAATCTTCTTCATCAAATTTTGCATCTATTTCCAGATACACCAACTTGAGAACACGGCTGCTAGGGGATCTCATGGAAATCCTTCGTCTCTGTACATTCACTGGGACTGAATCCCAAAGTAGAACCACCACAGTGAAGAAGAACTGTTGCTGGCTCCAGAATGTGAATACAGCCTCACACCTTCTCTCCCACCTGCTTTTCCCCAGGGAAGATTCACTCCTTCATTCCAGCTCCTCTGCCTTCTCTCCCAGAGTGGCACGGGGTGGATGGGGAAGACAGGAACTAATGGCTCCTCTCTGCAGCTCCTTCATCCTCCTCACACTTTCCCTCTGCTCCAGCGTGAGTCCCCCTTCCATGGGCTGCAGCTTCCTTCAGGACACACCAACCTACTCCAGTGCAGGGTCCTCTGAGGAATCCCCACCCCAGAGCATGCAGCCCTTCTAATTCTTCTCCTTCCTCCTCCTCCTCTTCCCCTGGGGCTCACACGCTCTCACACCCTTTCTCCCCTCACACTGGCAGCATTTTGCCCCTTCCTCAGAGGCAGCACCAGCCTCACTGACAGGCTCAGCAGTGCCCTTGTGCCGGGGCAACGCCGGAACCAGCCCTGTGTCCTCACAGAGGCTCCCGGGTGTCACCCAGCAACCTCACACCAGGCAACAACAACAGCTCCGGAGCCTGAGGTGGGATTGTAAAAAACAAAATTGCGATCCCATTAATTTGTGACTATTCATGGCTACCCTAAAGAGTCCAAAATCTATAATCACCACGTAAAAATTACTCCAGCACCTGAAGGATCAAGTTTTAGCCTTGCTTACATCTTTTAGCTAAAAGCTGCTCTTGTTTCCTCTGCTTCACTTGAGGGCAAAAGAGCTGTCCTTGGATTCACAGTGGGATAACCTACCAGCATTTCATCAGCTCATTTGCCATTTCATTGAATTTTGCTGAAAGCAAGTGAGATTATAAATAAAAAAGACAAAAAAGCTCTTTTCCCTTAGATACTCCAATCCCTCCAGACAAATCTATCTCAGTCTGTCATGTCGCAGACCCCTGCTTGCAAAGTCTTAGGCTGCAGTAGAAGCAGGGGGGAAGACACAGAATGTGGGAGCAGCAGCAGTTTAGATCAACTTCACAGTGCCCAAGCTGTGCTGGTGTCCATGCTGCTCTTCAAGGCTGGAAACCACTTGCCAAAAGAGTCTTGTGCTCATGGTAGAATTTTAATGGAAGGCTCTCTGTTAGCAAGGCCTCCCTGGTGCAAAACAGCCCACCGCAATTTATATTGTTGATATGACAGGCATTTTAGCAGATTTACTGCAATCTCCTAAAGCTATCAACCCACTAAAAGACAAAACTTTCCTGTCATCACAAACGTGGGAAGTCGAAATTCTCTATGCTAATCACTGTATAGTTTGCAGCCTTGATGAATTAGGAGTAGATTCTCTTTTAGCTTATTCTTTTCTTCCCTGTAACAAAACAAAACAATGAAACTGTTTTTTTAGTAGGCACCTTGTCATAATGAATAAATATATGCTTCTCAAAAGCTAATGATGATCTGCTGTCTATTAATAGCTTAAAATCAGAAAAATTTGGCATCACTCTCTGAGAAATTAATTATGTCAAGAGGAAAAATTAAAAATAAAAAATAAAGCCTAATAAAACTATGATAAAATAATCACCTAAAAACAAATGTCATGCTTCAGAGCTATAGCATCACCCAGCCAAACACTACAGGTCACATTTAAAAAGAGGCCACACTGTATCATGCTTCAGAAGGTGGGGAGAAACTGGCTGGGACTATACTTCTCCCACCTTGCTGCTCAGCATTTGCAAATCTCGAGATTACCGCATTGCTGCCGTCTTCATACGCTGCAAAAAATCAAAAACCACATGCAGATCTGACACATGGAATCAGAAGTACTTGGATCTATATTCTATATTTCCTTGGAGTTATGAATTTGACACTTGTAGACCTTTTATATTTTGCTCATCTGTTGACCTTGCATTATGAAACCCTGCAGCTTTCTCCAACAAAAGCAAAACCAGAGTCATTTGAAAGCAAGAAACTGCTTTCTTACCATATATCTCATCCAAAAGCACTGACGCTTTTAATTCCCAATTCTACCAAGAGTATTTGAGGAGGTTAAGAACAAGGAGAGGGAAAGGAAATGAAAAAGCTCTGAGATGTACAGATATGTAGGAGAAAAATTACAAGTGGATGGAAGATGAAGTGATCATAAGGATAGAGAACTTTGAAGATTATTCTGACCAAGGGCCAGATGTGAAACTAAAGCCAGTTCGTAAGAGAGATGAAAAGAACCTTAGATAAAATCCCTAGTCTGAAGTTAGGGGTAAATGTGAAATCAGAATGATGACGTGTCCTGAACTAGAACAACTAGGGAACATCTCACGAAACTGCATTGGATTCCCAGTCATTTTCTCGATGCCACTTACTTGGAACCGTTTTCTTCCTTAAATTCATGTAGCTTCTGGGGAGAAGCCAATGCAGATACCCAAAGTTTACAGCACTTGAGCTGCCTGTACCAGGCCCCAGTAGCAGCTACATAGCCTAAGGAGCCAGATCTGGCACTGACCACACTTTCCTGCCCTGACAGGCACTCAGGAGAGATCTTAGGAGTTTCAACTTCATCAGTTTACTCAGATTTTTCACCTGTGTCACTACAACTATCCTTAAACAAAGCTACACACTCCAAAAAAGCATAACCTGTTAAATATGGGCAAACAGGATATTTAGTTCTTATTCTCTGGTGAAGAAAACTTGCTTTGTACAGAAAGCTTGTGTAAAATCTCTGTGTTAGAACTCTAAAGAGTGATTAATCAATCAATTCTCGTGTCCTCCAACTACTAACCAGTATAACAAGAAACTAAACAGAGTTTTGTGGATCTCAAAAGAAGGGAATCTCAAACAGACATTGTTTGAGATTGTTTGAGAAAAGCCTTAGAGCTAACCACTAAAAGAAGGTGCTGAGGTCATGCTGAATACTTAGCATTGCAGGGTTTTAACACGAGCTTAATCAAATACCAGCTTAATCCAAAATCACTCAAGACCAATCTCAGTAACTGGTCCTGCTACAAACCAAGAGGATGGACTAAGTGGTGCCTTAAAGTCTTTTCCACACATGAAAATTCTAGATTCAATTAATCCTCTGTCCTTTCAGGTCTACATTAGGCCTATATATGTGGGGTTCATTCAAGAAGATTAAAACTACAAAAATGCAGTGAAGTAACCGATGTGTCTTACTACACAGCTTATTCGTCTGGTGGAGTCCTGATACTGAAATCTCTCCCAAGACTGAAGGAAATTTGGGCATGGGACTTGGAACTTCTGAGTACAAGAGGAACAAGCATACACAAAAAGCCCTAGCTCAGACTGTTACACTGAGAAGCTATCTAAATGATCAAAAGGGCCAGATTTCAAGAAGAAAGCATGGATGTCTATTTTCAGAAATAAAACACGCCATTACAAAGAATTCTTTCAATCAAATGCCTTCAGGTTAGTGTTAAACAATTCCCATATTCCAAAGAAGTAAATGTAGTTACTAAAATCTATGTCAGTTGGATGGATAACGTGTGCTCTAAGGAGTCAGCCAAGGTTTATGGAGAGAAGAGACCAAACCGTCTGGCAGTCTGCCTAAAACAAAAAGGTAGTTTCCTCATATATAACACTTTGCTGCTTGGCAACCATGATGGCATATGATCCTCATGATGTACAATAATGTTCACTATGTTC